CCCCTTGGAAACAAATGTGCAAACATCTAAAATCCAGAGGAGTATAAACTGTAGACTATGGAAACAGAAATCCTGCATCTTACATATTTCCCTGATGTGTGAATTTGTGGCCTTGGATGAGAAAAGGGGACCTATAGTTTATAGTTTGAAAACTATTTAGACCTTGAGAAGTCTTCATTGAGGCTAAATCAGAAGGCCCTAAACACACTGATTATTGTTAATGTGACACATGGTGGTTGCAACCTGGCTCTGGACTATCAGGTAAATATTAGTTCTTGGATCACCTGAGCCTGTGAACTGGAGCCCAACACACCCGAGGAGCCTGAAAGTACAGCTGACTTCACAGGCACATTTTTAATTACTCGTTCATGAATTCAATTAAGTACTTAGCATGATTTCAGTCTTTCATACTCAAAAATTTCTGTGTTGGGCTTATACTAAGAGCTCTGAATGGATTATCTTATCCTCCCAGCAACCCTGCACTATACTCGTTTTCATTCTCCCCATTTAACAGATTAGGAAGCTGAGGCACAGAGAGGGTAGGATGCTTGTTATCTAGGTTATCTAGCTAGTAAGTAGGGGTTCTAACATTGGGATCCCGGCAAAGCTTACGCTGAGCCATAATTCTTAGCTGTTAGGCCATATGGGCTGGCACATTTGTGAAATTGTCTCGGACTAGAAAAAAAAATGGAGCGTGCTTATTCAAAACATATATTTATCCTAGTGACCTCATAGGCCATTCAGTATTCAGGAGGAAATGCCACGGAACTGGAGACTCAAGTAATGTGGTATAAATTTGTTTACTTTTCAGCACTTCAACTGGAAGACCTCTGGATGCTTGTCTCCCTCCCACTGAACAGAGCAGACCTTTCAATTTAGGTTTATGCCCAACTGCTCTTGATAATTTTTGAAGCTGCGGAGGCCAATTCTAGGAAAAAATAACACTGCGGAATCCAGCATGATGCAATTTGAATGCTGGCACCTTTGCTGTGGCTCTTCTTACATAAAGCGCCTTATTGAGGGTCTCCCTCTGGTCAACAGAGGTGCACCCTGGGCCAAGGGAGCTTGCCTGTGCTGAGGAGAAAAGTTGTGCAGTGTTTCCTGGCTTGCGCTAGTTGTTTGCCCTGTCCTTTAGCTGGCTTGTGGGCCAGGACTCCTGCTGTGCATGGGCAAGCAAATGCCAGTCCTGCCACTCTTGAGAAACCCCGAGTTCTGGCTCTATAATTGGCCCAACTAGAAAGGACCTCCCCCTTTACCACTGCCAGGTGAATGAATTCTCCCCAGCCCTGTGTCCAGAGTGGTCTGAAAAATCAGCTTGGCAATTCTGAAGAAGATGCTACTGAGTATGTTAACATAAGACTCTAAACTATTCAAAGGCTGAAGTGCACCTTGAGAAGCCCTTTACAAACATGTGTGCCCATGTGTGTCCACAGCCCCCAAGGGATGGATGTCCTGAGTGGTCAAACAGTTTGATAGAAGTGAAGCCCCTCCCCGGGCTCCTGTTTTGTCTATACACTATTTTGTTTAGACAGGAAGGAGGAAGTTGAAGGAACTGTTCTGACAAGTTGCTGGAAACCTTGCAAAACTAAAGTTGTCCTGGGTACACCTAACCACTGTGCTGTTTTGGTCAAGGCTGAAGTTAGGCAAACATCCATCAAGACCTGTCTGTTGCTTTGTCTTGTAGACACCAAATGGACTGCTTCTGACCCCGAGTCCACTGCTCTCCAGCATCCATTTCTGGAGCAGCCTTAGTCCAGTCGCTCCACTGAGTCCTGCCAGGCTGCAGGGGCCTAACACGCTGTTTCAGGTAAGTATTGGAAGTGAACTTTTAAACATACATCATCCAAGGGAGGCTTTTCTCTGAATCCTACTAAGGCTCAGATGGTAGTTCCTGCCACATATTTGGTTATTATGTTAAGTTTCCAAGGGGAGTCCATAAGGATTGGGCTACATAACCTTTTAGAGTCAGTCTCATTGAGACAGAAAGTATGCCCATTTCAGGAATTGATATATAGAATTATTATCTCTTAAAGTGTTCTGGGTCTTTCCATTTGAATAGGAGAACTATATATTTATTACAGAAAATGAGAAGTTTAAAAATGATTAAGACTTTAAAATATTAATCTAAGTAGTCAATGTAAATGTATTCATTTGAAATACACTGAAAAATAGTGAATACTTTTTCCCATACTATAAGTTACCTGCATAGTTCTATGAATTATTATCAAGTTCTAATTTTGTAATAAAATAGCATGTAGAAATTTGGCTAAAGAGTCAAGAAGACCTTGCTGACTTAGATGAGCATATTCATTATTCATTCATAGGCTGGAATCTTGCAGGAGGTGCACTTGGCTATCATGTAGATAGCAGTATTTTCTGAGTCCCAAGGACTGCTACTCACTCAAACACTGTTTCTGTTTGAATATATGATTACAGGCACAGGAGTGAAGCAAAGGTGGACAGGGCCAACTCCCCATGCCCCTAATTCTTGCTTGGTCTCATCCAGTCTTCTTCCTCTGCCCCAGTGTAGCTCACCCCAAAATGGCTGCAGTTCCTTGGCTGCCCCTGCATTTAGCATTTTGAATTAAGACTGCCTGTTGATCCAGCAAGAGATGGGAACTGTATTCTGTTCACTGTGGTGTCTCCCAGCATCTAGCACATCACTTCGTCCACAATGTCAGTCATTACTGATGACTATCTAAATAACAAGATGCCAAAGCACAGATGTCAACAAAAGATGTTAAGAAATTCAAGTCTCTCATCTTCTGAGTGTCATTTTGCTCATCAAGGTCAATATTTGCTGAGTAACTCTCTGCCAAAGCATAATGTTATATACATGGTGGGATTTAGGGTCTCACTAGAAGAATGGGGGAGCTAAAGAGGTTTTGATTACTATCTTCCTCCTCTGGTTTCCTAGCAGGGTTGGGGTAGAGTGTCGTGATGTAACTATTCCCTGGAGTAATCAGGTTTCTTTCTTTCCCTAGCCCTTATTCCCATCACAAAAACCTCAGCTATGATTAGGCACAACTAACATGTTATTATCACTGCAACTTGAGCACGACAGGAACACTAGAAATAGTAAGCAAAAGGCAATGAGCAAGTGTATTTTGGAAGGTCTTCTACTAGAAACAGTAATCTTTTGGTGAAGAGAAAGACTTCATTTCCTGAAAAAGTCTAGAGTAGCAGTATTCCAGTAGATGTGGAACAGGAGCCGTACAACTCATTAAGTGCTTTTGGAGCAGGACTGCAATACTTAATCTAAGACTCTAACTTAGCTTCTGCAGCATTAACAATTTCTTATTTCTGTTTTTATTGGGAGTTCTGCCTTCTCATTGGTACAGGGCTTGCTGACCTCCAAGGGGAGTCCAGAGTAACAGGTGGAATCACAGGTTTCCAGTCCAGTATTCCCAAGAGTAAATAGAGCTCATGACCACAATGATTTGACACACTGTCAAGCTGAGAGTTGGGAGCTGTGTGTACCACATGCCCAGTGGTTCTCCAAAACCAGTATGCACCTGAATCACCTGACAGTAAACATGCTGGGCCCACCTAGAACTTCTGATCATGAGTTTTGGGCAGGGTCTGACAAAAACCGTCCACTCACAAATGCTCTGAACTAGGCACTGTACTACACCACTGTAGATGAGGCGTTCCTCGTTTATGTTTAGGATTCTGCAGATTACTGCATATAAAGGCCATCTGCTCAGAGTTTTGATTTTACTTTCACCAAACAGACCTATTTTCTCCCTGAAAAGACAATCTTGTTGAAAACAAAACAACACAACACAACAGCCTGGTTGGCTGACAGCTGCAGGGCCTGATGCTCTCAATTTGTGACTGGATCCATGAGACAAGTTTGTGCCTTTTAAAATACTATTACTATTCTCATGAAAAAGAGCAGCTGAGTGCAGTAAAAGTCAGAGGTGGAAGTTTTAAAAATGCTGAACAAAACATGCTAAGAAGGGGCTGGAGAGATGGCTCAACAGTTAAGAACACTGTTCTCACAGAGCAGCCGGGTTCGAATCCCAGCACCCACATGGCAGCTAACAAATGTCCGTTAAATCCAGTTCCACAGGATCTGACAGTCTCTTCTGTCCTCTGTGGGCATTGCACGACACAAGTGCACTTACCTACATGCAGGCAATACACGCATACACGTAAAAATTAATAAAATATTTTAAAAAACATGCTAAGAATAAGGTTTCCAGTTTTTTAAGCTAGACATTAAAATGGACAGAATTTTCAGAATTCAAATTGCCCTTCTAAATTAAGAAAAATAATAAACCCCATTTACATGTGTTCTAAGTATGTTGGTAGAATGAAAAAGTAGATGTGGCCTACAGCATATTTTGAGTGATATGGGCAAGTTTCCCATGTGACCCTTAGAAAAGCAAATAGAAATTCTTTAGAAAAGAGTTGATAGATCTGAGGAGTTTCTGCACAGAAGATTCCAAGACAATTATTTGTCTACCTTCCTGTCTCAGGGAGAAAGGGATTGAGATAGGGTCTCACACTGTAGTCCTGACTGGCTTAGAACTAACTACAAATTTGTAGCCCAGACTAGTCCCAAACATGCAGCAGTCCTCTTGCCTCAGCCTCCTGAGTGGTGGTGTTAGTATACGCCTGGCACACTCAGCCTCCTGAGTGGTGGTGCTAGTGTACGCCTGGCACACTCAGCCTCCTGAGTGGTGGTACTGGTGTACGCCTGGCACACTCAGCCTCCTGAGTGGTGGTGCTAGTGTACGCCTGGCACACTCAGCCTCCTGAGTGGTGGTGCTGGTGTACGCCTGGCACACTCAGCCTCCTGAGTGGTGGTGCTGGTGACACTCAGCCTCCTGAGTGGTGGTGCTGGTGTACGCCTGGCACACTCAGCCAGTTAGAGCAAATTAGAGCAGGTATGGCACAATTTCAGCGAAGAGGAGAGAAGAAAAGACACTAACCTTTCTGGAAAAGGCACACTTTCTAATTAAGAACTGTTTTAGGAAAGAGAGGTGCCAAAGACACAGTGCTAAGTGTGAATCTTGATTTGCAAACAAAAACTTTTATTTTATCTAGTCAGTTTGGCACTTCGAGCTCATCTCTGAGGTATCTGTTCCACTCTAGATTTTGATTACATTTGATCAAATTTGGAATTCACCTTTCAGGTATTGATACATATGGAAACAAGGTAGATGAAAAGTCAGTTTCCAACTGAGAATGTGTTCTGTAACTTTCAGTTCAACAAACCCAAGCCAGCAAATTCTGCACTCTTCTGTAGCAGGGCCTGAAGGAGATACACAACACACGAGTAACAGAAGAGTAAACAAAGTGTGCAGCGGGAATCCCAGGGACAGAGGAGCACCTTCCAGCTGGGGACTAGATAGAGGCCAAAAGCAAGAAGTTTCACCCAAACGGAGCTGGGAAGAGTGACAGGATTTCAATAGAAGAACATAGTTTAGGACTCAGTAGATCTGCATGGTTCAGAGATGGGGGTCTGCAGGAAGGGAGCTGGTGACAGAAGAGCAGGTAGGAAAAGCAGCTGTGGGCCTTGCATAGTGTGCACAGGAACTTCCACTTTCATCTGTTGGTCAACCTTCTTACAGCACAGACAAGAGGGTGAGAACTCTATTTCAGAAAAAAATGCCACAGATATGCATGTGGAGGAAGAATTGAAGAGCAAGCTAAAGGAAAGGAAAATTAAAATTATTATACTAGGGACTAGAGAGATGGCTCAGTGGTTAAGAGCACTGACTGCCCTTACAGAGGACCCAGGTTCAATTCCTAGCACCCATATGGTGGCTAATAACCGTTTGTAAAGCCAGTTTCAGGGGATCTAATGCCCTCCTCTTACTTCCACAGACATTGCATGACATGGATACACTTACCTACATGCAGGCAATACACACATACACACAAAATAATATTTTAAAAAATTATTTATTATTATGTGTATGCGTGTATTGCCTGCATGTAGGTAAGTGCACCCATGTCATACAATGCCCACAGAGGTCAGAAGAGGCTATTGAATTCCCTAGGACTGGAGTTATGGACAGTTGTTAGCTGCCATGTGGGTGCTGGGATTCGAACCTGGGTCTTCTGCAAGAACAACCAGTGTTTTTAACTGCTGAGCCATCTCTCCAGCCCTATAAATATTTTAATAAAAAAATCATACTACTTCAGATGCTGAAGGGAGAATCATCTTTTTCATCATAACGGTGGGTGGGAATATATTTAGCACACATTTCAGAGGATAAGTAGGCTTAAAAAAAGGTAAGACTGAGTTGGGTTAGAGGAATAAGTGGGTAGTAAAAATTATGTAAAATCAAAGATGGCTGACTAGAAGACTGGGACTGCTATTAATAGCAGCTGCTAATATCTACCAACTTAGTTACACGTGGCCTACTGTGTGACAAACATTGGTCTAAGCCACTCTGCTCAATAAACACTCCCAGTAGTTACACTCTCAAAGATGTGATGCTGCAGTTTACACTAGTATGTGGATGAGCCCTTGTTCCAGTTGAATCTGTATTCCCAACCCTCATTCTCAGTGATCTGGAACAACAAAGGGCAGGTTTTGTGGGACACAGCATTGGGGACATCTCAAATGGACATGGCTATCAAATCCCAAGTATGGTATTGGAGAAAAGAGACTAAGAACATGTTTGGGGAATGTTGCAATTTAAGAAGAGATGCAGTGGGGAAAAAAGCCAACAGAGATGACTAAGAGACCTGCCATTTGGAAAAAGCAAGCTAATCAAGAGAAGTCTGACAACTGGGTATATAAATAGAGACAGAAACCAGCAATTCTTTCAAAAACACAGAAAAGCTAATGAAACTAAAGGTGATTCTGTAACCACCACTAAAATGGGGAGGAGGGTATGGCACACCTAAAAGAGAGACAATCCAAACTATCCCAAAAGAGTGAAAAGTCAAGACCAGTCCTGCCAATGTTCACTTAAGTCAACTGGGAATAGTGATCAGGAATATGGGCCTTAAATAAGAGTACAGACTATATGTAATTAGATTCGGAAACACAGTTGAAATAAGTTCTGGAGGAAGTAAAAAATGTCAAAGCTCCAGGAAAGAAAGAACACCTCAAACACGCCAGTTGCCATTAAAGACATTACAACATTAAATAAAGACGCCCCTTAACTCCTATTGGGTGGTTTAGTACAGAAAGATTATAGTTTGAGTTAAAACTTGGTTTTGCTGTTTATAAGCTATGACCTTTAGCTAATCGGTCCACTTGAACTTTTCTTCCTCACTTATAGAGGATAACAAAACTTACTTTATTGCCTCTAGATATCAAATAAAATGACAGCCCTTGATAAGCAAAAGGAACTATATGTGAAATACTGAAACAGTCTGAAAATTGAAAAAAATGTATTTACTTGTTCTACAAATATTTATTGTACTTCTAACATGCCAGGCTCTGATATTTAGTACCAGAGTTTAATATTTAACTTTCCTGGACTAAAGAGGAATTAGGTTAGAAAAGCACTCAAGAGATCATTTTGACACATTTCATCCTTGGCAATGGAAACATCTAGTCATGAATTGCACATATTAAAAGGAGGCTTTTACTTACTCTTGCTTACTTGGGTGTATAACTGATGTAGTTGTTTGAGATGAAACATTATCAAATCCTAATAACTTTATTCTACTGTTTATCATTCTAGTTAACTAACAATACAGACATTTTACTGTTGGCTACTTAAGGGTAATCTTTCTAATATGCTTGATAGTCTTAATAAAGAATTTTTCTCATCTTCAAAATAAAATAGGTATTTTCTAGATTTTTAAAATTCAAAACAGTCCTCATTAATTATGTGTGTGTCTGTGTGTGTGTGCACTTGTGTGCAGGTACCCATGGAAGCCAGCAGATCCCTTGAAGCTGGAAATGACACAAAGTTGTGAACCACTCAACATGAGTGGTGAGAATCAAACTCAGGTCCTCTACAAGAGCAGCAAGCACTCTTAACCACTGAGACATCTCTCTAGCCCCCAGTCCCCATTTTTAATAAGCACTGAGAGATAACTTTGTAATAGTATGGAAAACTTATATAATCTTAGAGATTACAAATTCATATATAGTGTCTTGGTTTCCAGTTTTTTCCTCAATATTTAAAGCAAATCAGCGTTCTACATGGCTTAGAACCTTTTAAAGAACAGTATTAGCACACACTTTATAACAACATCGGAAGTGCCCATTTTTTTTTTTTTTTCCGATAGCTTAGGCACAAAGAATAGGGGCATTTTCTAGGACTTATTCTCTAAGTAACCTTGCAGTTATTTTGTAAAATAAGATTGGCAACCAACCTCCCATCACAGGGGTGATGGGAAAACTAACTACCTTGGTCTGTCTGTGAATGTATGAAACTCCCACTCTTTTCAACGAATTAGTAATGATTATTTAAAACCTCTTTTGTTCCCCTACAGTTCCCCACACTGCTGAACAATCACATGCCAGTGCCAATCCCCAGTCTGGACAGAGCTGCTTCTCCAGCACTGCTTTCCTCTAGCTCTCAGAAATCCTGATGATGTCTTTCCGCAATTAAAGACTCATTAACTGATGAAGCAAATTTGTCCCCATTGGCTAGTTTACCTGTGTCATGAGAAGGACATCGTGAAACCCTCTGTTAATTTGGTTTGCACTTTTCATAACATGGATAATCTAGATGTATGTTAGCATTTTAAAAGCTGTTTTTTATATATTCAAGTATATATGAAAACCTGTTTTGCATTAAGTGGATTTTAATGTTTTTGTTTTTATAGCCTCTTAGCTCTTAAGTGTTGAACACTTGTTGAGAGTGAAAGCCTTTCTTAATGTTTTCAGTATAACTAATAAGGATGTGAAGCTTTTTCTCTTTAATTCTGCATATGCTGACCTTTGCTTGTATACACAATGTAACCAGCTGTGCCTTCCTTTGCATTTAGTTTTATGTAAATGATTTATATATATTTTAGTACTAAGAAAAAAATGTTTGAAAGACAAATGAGTATCAAACAGCTCTTGTAGAATTTCATTATTTTTCACAAGTAGGCAACATATGAAAGCATAATCGTATCACTTTTTTCTTTTTGCTTTCAATTGTGTAAGAATTGCCTTAGAACCTCTTTTGAACTGAAATCCAATAAATGTAATGTCCAAGTAATGTTTTTATAAGAATGAACTAAGCCATATTTAGACAATAAACATTCTTTTAAAAATGTTCTAAAGTGCATTTTTAAGAAGATAGACTTTGAGAGGCTAGCCTCTTAGCTGTTTACAATGTCCTTTATCCTCCCCAATAAAAATCTGGTATACCACACCACTCTTAAGAATTTTCTACGTTCATGTAATACTTAAAAAGATTAACCCTGCTTCTCCTGATTTTTCCATAATCACACCCATCTGGTGTTTTTACTATCAGTGAGAGTTAAGGTTTCTTTAAATGCCCGGCACTACAATTAATATTTAAAAATCTAATGTTTCAGGGATAGGGGTGTAGTTTAGTAGAGCGCTTGCCTAGCATATGTTGAGGCTCTGGGTAAAATACCCAATTCCCTGCCCCCCCCAAAAGAAAAAAAACCCTAATGTTTTGGACCATGTTCACATATGGTAATGAATTCAACAACAACGAAGCATTTTTTTTTTTAAATAACAGGTTTCTGCATCTGTATAGATACAATTTTGATAGGTTAAAAAAAACTGTAATACAAAGAACTGGGGGCGGAAATAAAGACTTTGCTTCTGGAAACAGACACAGGAGACACTGCTTTCTGTTCCTTAAATGTATGATGACAAATTGTTCAGGAATCCCACCATTACATAACAATCTGGAATGCTCTGCATTGTGCTGTAGGTTAGAACTCCGATGATAGTAGCCCAGCTTCTGGTTAGGAAGCTCAGCAGGCGCCACACCTGTACACAAGTACTTATGATTCCAGATTAGATTCACTGTAACCCTTAACTACCAGCAGTAAAAACCAATCTGAAACGTGACTAAACAGATGATCCAAACCACACGCTAAATAGCAGGGATTATGAAAAAGGATAAGATGAAGTTAATAAAAGCACACTTCTTGACTTCTCAAAATTTTCCAATTATGTTTACATACTTAGAAACTGAGACTTTCAAATGAAATTGACCAGCCTTCTAAGTGGGGAGGTTTGTCTTTATTAAGGGGTGGGGGGCAACCAAAATGGCTCTAAAATCCACAAATAAGACATTCCTGCCACTCCCTCACAGCAAGGGTACATCTGTACTAAAATAAAAAGGAGCTACTTCAGGGACCTGTTACAGAACACAATCAACCAGAGCTGGGAGGGGCTTTGGAGAATGCTTTCCTGTACCTGTTTCCAGGTCAAAACGCAAACACAGGATAAGGTACAAGAGAGAGGCTGGGTGTTACCGAGGGCCACACAGCTCACTGAAGGTAGAATACTGGCCAGTATTCTGTCCAGTTCTGCTTCCTGATGCCTAGCTTTAAGTGACTACTGGTCTAAAACTGTGTTGGATAGAGAAACATAAAGCTGGGCCATTTATGACTGTTTGATCAGGTAAGAACACATTCAACGCACAAGATTCTTGTAAGGAAACTGAAGGAATTAATGTGCACGAATTTCAACCAAAAATTAATTTTAAAATATACATGCTGATTGGAAATGTTCAAATGACTATACATTTGGTTTATGTTTTCTTTTCCTCCAATTATTGTGATTATCTTATACTCCAGAGCCATTGATTAGAAATGGAAAGTTTTGATGGATTAAAATGTTCAGTGTAATGGCTGGAACTGGAGATAGTGAAGAATTAATAGTTCTGCCTCATTTTCTGTGTGTTTTTAACAGAATTATTTTAAGCCAGAAAATAGGTTCCAAAGAACATTAACTTTTTCTCTCTTTTTATGTTTGCTTAATCAGTGTTTAACTGCTATGGCTGGTTTGAACTTTATAACCTATATTAGAGAACCTGACTGTTGATCTCTGTATACATTTTTTTCTATGATGCAAATCTTTGTTCACTTTCATGTATGTATCATTTTTACTGTAATATTTTTGTTGAATAAATACTTTGTGATAAAAAGTGTTTAGAGGCAAGTGGGTTAGTTTACTTCTAATAACTTGAAATGACTAAAACTCCATTTTTCTTTATGTAAACAAGCTGGACCAGGCTGGAGAGATGCCTCAGTAGTTAAGAGCACTGACTGCTCTTGCAGAGGACCCAGGTTCAATTCCCAGTACCCACATGATGGCTAACAACCATCTATAACTCCAGTTCCGAAAGAATCCCGATGCCTTCTTCTGACCTCCATGGGGATTGTACAACACGGGTGCACTTACACACATGCAGGCAATACATTCATACACATAAAATAAAAATAATAAAATACTTAAAAAAAGCAAGTTGGAAAAATGTGCTTTACTACCTACCCTTAAGTAAGGCACATCAAAGAATGCTTTAAATACAAATATGTAAAAATAAAAATACCAGGCTAGAGCTATGGCTTACTGGTGGAGGACTTGGCTACCATGTGTAAGACCCCAGGTTTAAACCCCAGTACGACAAAAACATAAACACTGAAAAAAATAGGGGAAGAATGGAATGGGTTTGAAAAGTGGTCTGATCTTTTAAGAAATGTGGCTACACTGTTCAGTGGGTAAGAGCTCTTGCTATATAAGCATGAAGACCTGAGTTCAATGTTCAGCACACACATTAAAAACTGGGCATAGTTGTGTATGCACCAGCATCATGGGGTGCAGAGAAAGGCCTTGGGCTCACAGGCCACTAGTCTAGATGAAAAGGAGAGCCTTAGGTCCAGTGAGAGACCGTCTCAAGGGAATAAGGCAGTGAGTGATAGAGCAGGGCATCTGATGTCTTCTTCTGATGTATGCACGTGTGTACATGGTGTGTATACCCACACAATATGGGGGTACACCACACACACACACACACACACACACACAGAGAGAGAGAGAGAGAGAGAGAGAGAGAGAGAGAGAGAACAAAAACAAGTTCTGTCAACTGCTCTGTACCAAGATGGAATAAGGAAACAGAAAAAACAAGGCACAATTTTTCCTTTTAGCTATTTTGTTGACACAGAGGCATGTGAACTGCCAGACTTGATACTAAAGGTTCTTATTTTTCCTGGTCTCACTTCCAGGTTAACCTGGTTCTGCTTTCAATGCTCCATGTGGACTGATTCAAGGAGTTGTGCGTGTGTGTGTGTGTGTGTGTGTGTGTGTGTGTAAAAGAGGAGGAAGGGAGAAATAATGGATTAGCAGAGACCCAGTATGACATGTTCAGTATCACTACAGTGCAAAAAGGGACAGAAATTCATAGCCACCTATGGTATAACACATATCTATCAGTATGGTGGAAAATAATTCACTTACTGAAGAAACATTTGAAAACCAACTGTTTCAAGTAAGCACTGCAGAAATGTTCCTTCTACTCAAGAAGAAATTTATTTGGTTCTGTTTATAACAGTTCAACTCAGTTTTATAATGCTCTTTATGCTTTCTCCCCACAGGCATCTCTTCTCTGCATCCATACACTCTCTCATCATACCCCTCAGGTTGTTCAGTGCTGCCTACAGGACTGACATTATGCTTAGGTACCTTCTTCCAAATGAGTCTGGTACCTAAGATTCCCATCCCCCCTTTTTTCTGGTGTTTTTGAGACAGGGTCTCCTTGTAGCCCCAGCTGGCCTGGAACTCGCTATGCAGACCAGGCTGGCATGGAACCCACAGAGATCCAGAGATCTGCCTGCCTCTGCCGCCCAAGTGCTGGGATTAAAGGCATGCACCACCACGCCCAGCCTAAGACCCATTTTTATTTCATTACATGGCATAGCTTCAGTTAATGACAATAACTATAAATTACTTATCACATGCCAGGCACTGCTCTCAGTTTTTTACATGGATACAGATATCCTCCCACACAGCTCTAGGAGAGAAATACTATTATACTTCATTTTATGGATGGGGAAATGGAAGCCTATTGTGGCTAAGTAAATGACTCAAGGAGACAGAGTTTGCAGACTTCAAACTTAATATTTTGATTAGAGCGACCATGATGTGGACCAATAGTGCCTAAGAAATTTAAAGTAGTAATCTACATCTTCATATAGAACAGATCCTGGCATATATAAACCTTAAACATAAATCTTTGCTGTATCACTGTTTGCTGAGGAAGCAAATTCTCAATAATTGTAAAGCTGGCTCTACCTGGACTTCTCCTGTACTGACTTTATTCCCAGCCCTATGCATTCTCTCCCCTCCGTGTGTGTGTAGAATAATTTAATTATGAATTAGTTCTTTTGTTTCTAAAAAGTCTCACAGGTTAGCCTGTTTTTTCTTAATTTTTGACTGCTGTATCTGTCATTCAAAGAAAAGAGACAAGGCTAAGTCAATATAACATAAGTGATAAATTTTACCTATAACCAAAGGTTTCTTCATACATGCATCTTAACAAATACTATTATTTCCTTAAAATATATGCCGGGTGTGGTGGTGCACGCCTTTAATCCCAGCACTCGGGAGGCAGAGGCAGGCGGATCTCTGTGAGTTCAAAGCCAGCCTGGTCTACATAGTGAGTTCCAGGCCAGCTGGGGCTACAGGGAGACCCTGTCTTAATCAAACAAAATATACTAAGCAATCAGGTGAGACAGCTAAGTGGATCTATCTATCTATCTATCTATCTATCTATCTATCTATCTATCTAGAGATATCTGGTATGAGATATAATTATTTTCTTCACAAGGCTTATGATTTAGTGAGTGGTAACAAAGGGTGACAAAGTTGTTATATTTTTAAGTGTACGGATAATACTAGAAAGAAGGGCAGCAAAATAGGACATGCAATCCAATCTGAGGTAAGGTAGGACAGGGTACAGAGAAGTCCTTCTCCAAGAAATAACTGAGATTTGAGGGGTAGGAAAGAGAAGAGGAATAGAAGAAAATAGCAAGTAGAGGAAAGAGAAGGTTTAAAAAATGGGCAACGGAAGAAATATTTGAGGAACAAAGATCAGTATGGTTGGATTTATTCCTACTGAGAAGAAAGCTAATAAATAATCAAATGAGATAGTAATGTGAAATACTTAGTAGCAGTAGAGTATGAATTCAAAAGGAAGGAGGGGGTTTCCAGGTAGCTAAGACGTAATGAAAAGAGTGACTGGTTAGGAGTCTGTGGAAGAGCAAGACAGCTGGACTGAGCTCCCGAAGCTATCTTCTGGTGATTTTCACTGTTTCTAGGGGGAAAAAAATGTATGACCACCATCCCAAAATGGCCTACAGGACCCACACCACCCACACCTCATCCATTCATTATTTAAGCACCTCCAGAGGGAAAACAGCAAGACAAAGACTGTACATCAATGCACCTGAAGAAGGAGCTGAAGCTTTAGCAAGTCATCCCTAAGTAGCACTGTTCTAGGAAGTCTCAAGTCTATACCCACTAGCATTCTCTCTCTTGTCCACAGCCAAGTAGAGCATCCTTTGGATGCTGAGCTTTCCTAAGAAGTGTTAAGACAGTCACCAGCTACATCTTTATGTTCATGTCTGCAACTTGTCCCAAGCATTTCTGTATCTTGACTGTAGTAGGATTGAGATGGAAGAATGCAATAGGGGCAGCCAGCAGTTCCTGCCCCAGTCTCATCTGCATGTCTCTATCTCCTCTCACAGTGCACACATGCATACTGAGCCCCATATCCAGCCTGTTCAACAATGGTTTTGTTTTTGGTCTCTGAAGGGGTGGCTTTCCAGAAATGTTGGGTTTTTTCCCCATTAAGTTGCCTTCTCTCTATTCTTCTTAGGGAGAAGCCACAAATGAAAAGACCTTCCAATCATCATAGATCAAGATCTTACATACTTTTCTCATCCAAGTAGCTAAATAATCAGTAATTTGCTCATATTCTTCCTATTCTGGACTGATAGGAAATCGGTGACTTCAATAGTTTTTCTAGGTCAGTAACAGAAACCTTTGACTTCAACTAGAAATGATGACAATGGAGACAATCTCCTGACCCTACAAACCTG